TCATTCAATTCTGGTTTTTAAATTTCCCTGGAGACTTTTTCTTTTACCTGTGGATTATTTAGAAGTATGTTGTTTAGTTTCCAGTGTCTGGAGATTTTCCTGTTATCCTTCTGTCATTGATTTCTAGTTTGACCTTATCATAGTAAAGAATATACTCTGTATGATTTTAATTCTTTAAGTTTCTTGAGGTTTATTTTATGGCCCAGGATATGGTCTATCTTGGTATATGTTCCATGGGTACTTGGAAAGAATGTATATTCTACTGTCGTTAGGTGGGGTGTTCTATAAATGTCTGATAGATTTTGCTAGTTAAAGTGTTGGGTGTTCTATATCCTTGCTAACTTTCTGTTTAGTTTTCAGTTGTTGAGAGAGGTGTGTTGGTTTCTAACTGTAATTGTGGATTTTTCTGTTTCTCCTTTCATGTCTATTAGTTTTATTTCACACATTTTACAGCTCTTCTATTTGGTGCATATACATTTAGAATTGCTATATCTTCTTGACAGACTGACCCTTTTATTATTATATAATGTCCCTGTCTGTCTCCAATAATGTTCTTTGCTCTGAAGTCTTCTTTGTCTGATGTTAATATAGCCACTCCTGTTTTCTTTGGATCAAGTTTACATGACATATCTTTTTTCTCTCTTTTTACTTTTAACTTACCTATGCATCATATTAGAAGGACTTTCTTGTATAGCAGATAGTTCAGCAGCTAGACAGCCAATCTCTGTCTTTTAATTGGTATATTTAGGCCATTTACATTTACTGTAGTTATTGATATATTAGGGCTTAAGTCTGCCGTTTGATTTTTTGTTTTCTATTAGTTCTTTCTGGTCTTTTTTCCCTTTAGGTTTTCTTTTTTATTTTCTTGCCTTCCTGTGGGTTACTTGAACATTTTTTAGAATTTTATTTTGATTTATTTATAGTGTCCTTCAGTATAGATCTTTATACAATAGGCCTCTTTATCTGCAGGGGATACATTCCAGGACTCCCAGTGGATGCCTGAAACTATGGATAGTTTGGAACCCAGTCGCTGTCAATTGGAACATGTTTCTGTTCATGTCTTTCACCTACAAGTTTAATGCCTTTTTTATCTTAACTAAACACTTATCATACACTGTGGCCCTAACTTTTGCAGTTTGAAGTAGGACAGCAAAACTAGCACGAATTTATTTATCCTTCACAATTTCACAGATAGAAGATTTGTTCGTAATGTAGATCTTAGCAACTGCAGCATACCATTTTTTTAAGTTGATAACTTTCACATTTTCACTTAAAGGAAGCACTTTATAGCTTCTCTTCAGCATATCCGAATTTCCAGCACCACTACTTTTGCATTTGGGGGCCATTGTTAAGTAAAATAAGGGTTACTTGAACATAAGCACTGCAATACCACAGGGGTCAACCTGATGAACGAGGTGGCTACTAAATGAGTAACAGGTGAGTAGTGTGTACAGCATGGATACTCTGGGAAAAGGGATGATTCACATCCCAGGCAGGACAGAGCAGGACAGTGCAAGATTTCATCACACTACTCGGAATGGCACTCAATTTGAAACTTAGGAATTCTTTCTGGAATATTCCATTTCATATTTTCAGAACACAGATGACTGCAGGTAACCAAAACTATGGAAAGCGAGACCATGGATAAGGGGGAACTACTAGCTTTTTAGAGGTTACCCTAGGTATTACATTATATGTTCACAAGTTGCCAGAAGTGCTGGCATGTTCTTTTACCCCGTGAGGAAGCGTAGGAAGCTTGCCTGCCTTTACCCTCCCATTTATACCTGTCTCGAACATTTTCTCTATACACTTTAGAAGCACAGCAGACAGGTATGATTTTTCCTTCAACTCTCAAACATAATTTAGAAAAATCAAGAAGAGAAGGAAAGTCTAGTGTATTTTTCCACATTTTTGCTTATCTTATTCTTTACTCCTTCCTATTGTTCCAACGCTTTTTCTTTTATTATTTCTTTTCTGTTTAGAGAACTTCCTTTAACCACTTTTTGGGGTAGGTCTGCTGATGACAAATTCTTTTAGTTTCCCTTCATCTGAGAATGTCTTGATTTTGCCTTTATTCCTCAATGATATTTCCTAAATATAGGATTCCAGGTTGACAGTTCTTTCAGCTTGAAAAATGTGCCACTTTCTGTCCTCCGTGGTGTCTAGTCAGAAACCCACTGTCATTTGGATGCTTCCCCTGTAGGTGAAATGTCGTTTCTCTCTGACTGCTTTGAGGATTATTTCTTTGTCTTTAACTTTCACCAGTTTGACTGTGATATATGCTAGGGTGGATTTCTTTGGTCTGTCCTATTTGGGGTTTGCTCAACTTCTTGAATCCATAGATTTATGATTTTTGCCAAATTGAAGAAGTTTTCATGATTTCTTTGAGTTTAACCTTAGAAAATTGCTCTGGGAGGCTGAGGCAGGAGGACCTCTTAAAGCCAGGAGTTCAAGACCAGCCTGGGCAACCTAGCAAGACCCATCTCTACAAAAAATTTTAAAGAGCCAGGCATGGTGGTGCATGCCTGTTAGTCCCAGGTACTTGGGAGGGGGAGACTGAAGTGGGAGGATCCCTTGAGCCCAGGACTTTGAGGCTGCAGTGAGCTATGATGACATCACTGCATTCCAGCGTGGGTGACAGAGCTAGACCCTGTCTCTTAAAAAAACAAAAAAGTATCTAAGGCCATGTATTTCTCTACAAGCACCACCTTAGCTGTATTCCACAAATGTTGATATATTTCCAGATCGTTGGAAGGTTTTCTGGGGTTTTTGTTTGACTGATTTTGGTTTTTCTTCAGTGAACATTGAAGGCAAAATGAACATGAGGTGAAGAGATGAAAATCTCAGTCCTTCAAAATTTGAGATTTGCCTCATGTCCATGTACTTCCTAGTACATTCTCCTCCATCGTTTTATTTTCTTTATAAGTCTTGCATGATTTTAGGAAATTCTTTACATTTGATCCTAGATTTTTGGTTGTTTTCAAGAAGAAGATTAATTCAGACCAGCCCTGTCAAGTAGAAATATGTGTAAGCCACATGTGTAATTTCAATTTTTCTAGTAGCCACCTTTAAAAAGTAAAAAAAAACAAACAAACAAACAAACAAAAAAAAAACCAAAACAGTAGGATTGCTTGAGCCCAGGAGTTTGAGGTTGCTGTGAGCTAGGCTGAGGCCACGGCACTTGCCCCAGGCAAGAGAGTGAGACTCTGTCTCAAAAAAAAAAAATTTCAACATGTAATCAAGGAAAAAATAGAAATTCAATATTTTACACTTTTCCTACTAAGTCTGAATGTCGGATGTGTCTTACACTTACAGAGCCACATCAGTTGACATCAGCTGCATTTCAGGCGCTCAGTGTCCACTGTGTGATGGGCGCAGGTGCAGGCTGCCCTCTGGCCATCTCTCAGCCAGGCACTCTGTGTCCACTCTTGTCTGGGGCTGTTGGTGGATCTGAGACACATGCAACGCCTGCAGTCCTGCCCCTGTTCATGAGCCTTGAGCCCTCGTGCACCCAGCTTGCTCACAGGGCCCCATGCAGACACACACGCTGGCAGCAGGTCTCTTCTTGTCTGGCATTGCTCTGGCCATGTGTCTCCTGTCCCCTCTACCTGCCCAAACTGCCCTTGCTGTCCAGGAGGCCTTCAAGGCCCGCCAGGTCCTCGAAGCAGGCACCTGTAGCCTGGCTCTGCCATACGACCACCATGTCTCTCCCAGCTGCGGGCTCCTTGAGGATGGGCCCCTCGGTTTCACGGCCCTGTGTCTCTGGCCAGGCCTGGTGCAGAGGGGATTCAGCTCCATGTGGAAGGAAGGAATGAGTGAATGAGTGAAGTAGGGAGCACTGGCCTGAGGCTGCCTTCAGCTTGGGAGCCAGAGTGGGCATGGTGTGCAGGGCTCTGAGCAGACTCACAGCACGGCCCACAACATGCTGACAAGGGTGGGCATGTGCTCCAGTGAGGTCCTCCTGCCAGGCTCAGTCCTGGGTGACGGGAGCAGGACTGAGACCCCAGACTGAGGACAGAATTCCTGGAAGAGAGGTTAGGGGGCCTGGGAAGAAGTGGTTTTAAGGCTGTTGATGCATATTTCCATTGGGTTGTGCTAGTCCACACCCCACACGCAGGCAGCACTATAGCCGCTCCGGCACCAGGGATGGTTTTGAATTTGATTTTTGGTGGGTTTGGCAGGGAATTTTTCCTGGCTCACCTTGGGGCTGCCTGGTCCCATGAGGAGCAGTTGGAACGCCCCATGCAGCTGCCTCTCCTCTCCAAGTTGTGTCCACCTGAGCCAGCTGCACAGGGGTGGCAGCGGGGGAGGGGACACCCCAGAAAGGCCTCAAGCATGAGATGGGCACACTGCAGGACTGCAGAGTTGAGCCCAGGAAGGGGTGGGGAGGGCTGAGAAAGGCAGACCCCAAGCACCCCATTCCCTGGGCCTTCCGGGGCCAGGCTGGGCCAATGAGTCCAGGCAGAGGCTTCGTGTTTCCCTGTGGGCCAAGTGGGCAAAGCTGAGCCTGCACCGTTGCCCAGAGCACCTGCCGGCTGGCGTTGCCCCGCCCCCACGGGTATAATTAGCGCCGTGACAGGTGCTGTGGATCCGGTGGCCAGCCCAGCCCTGGCCCAGTGTGGCCCGGCCTTGGCCGACCTACCCCATCCCCCGGCCCAGCTCAAAGCCTCAACCCTGCCTGCAAGCCACCCACCAAGCCTCAAGCCCTACCCACCTCTCCCAGTGCTTCCTCCACACCTGCCAGGATAGGCAGCCGGCGTCTGGCAGAGGTAGCAGGCAGGCAGAGTCCTGGGCAGTGGCCTAGCCCCAGGCTCTGGGAATGCCTGAGTTGGCCCAGTCCCTGCCCTCAGTCCATGCCCAGGGCCATGGATCACTGAGGGCATCTCGTGGGTGGGTGGGGATGTGGGGGCCCTGGTGGAGCCCCTGTGGCCTGGTGGTCTCAGGCTTCCAACAAGAAGCCTCCACCTGGCCCACCTAGCTATAACCCCTTCTCTCCCCAGTGCAAGAAGAAGCACACACTACTGTGCCCCGACTTCGCCCGCAGGGGCACGTGTCCCCGTGGTGCCCAGTGCCAGCTGCTCCACCGCAACCAGAAACGCCATGGCCAGCAGGCAGCTGTATCCTCTGCCCCAGACCCCAGCAACGCCCCGCTCAGGAGCAGGGCCTTGGCCAGCCACGGGCCCAGGTGACAGGGCAGCCTATGCTGTGTTTGTGAGCCTGGGGGTGGCCCCTCCCTGCCTTGGAGGACATTCAGGACCCTCTAGGGTAAGCCCCCACGCCAGCTCTTTGGGCTTCAGGCCTGAAAAGGAATATGACCCAAGGCTGGGGACCAGGTGACCTTCAAAGATGCCCCCAGCCCAGGTCCCCAGTGCTGGACCAGAGGCATCCCCGGAGGAAGGTGGGGCCTTCTCAGAGAGGGGACGGAGCCCGGCCCCCAGGAGAGACAGGGGGTTCCCATGTGAGGCTCACCTGCTGTGTGGGCCTGGGAGTCCATGAGGAAGGGAAGCTGAGACCCTGGGAGGTGCGGGCAGGGCGCAGGGCTCTCTTGACCCCAGCTCCTCAAGTGGGAAGCCTGTAACCAGCCTGTCCTCAGGCTGAGAGCCCAGCTTGGACCTGGATCCTGGAGTTTTGCCCCAGATGGTGATATCCGGTGGCTACTGGGGCACGATGCAGTGGGGAGGGGCCAGGCATCGGACAGTGCCCTGCCTGAGCAGCCAGCTCCCCTCACACGTCTGCTCCCTTCCTTCTCTGCAGGAAGCCCTCAGCCCAGCAGCCCACCAGACAGACGCCCAGCTCCCCCCACTCCGTGGCTGCTGCCCCGGCCTCCCGCCCCTCCTCCCCAGGGGTGTCCGCTTCAGCCTCAGCCTCTCCCTTGTCATCAAAGGCCTCCCTCTCCCCCTCCCCTTCCTGCCCCTCTTCCTCCTCAGACCAGGAGGAGCCATCTCTCCAGGAGGAGGCCCCCTCGGCAGCAGCGGTGACAGGCTCCAGCAGCCTCTGCAAGCTGCCTTCCTTCATCTCCCTGCAGTCCTCGCCGAGCCCAGGAGGCCAGACCAGGGCCAGGACCCCCAGGAACCCCCCGACTAAGGACTCAGGTAGGCAGCCCAGCCCGGCTCGGGCACAGGGGTCGTTTTAAATGCACACCTCAGACCCATGCGGTCAGAGTCTCCAGGTGGGGCCCAGATGAGTGTAGCCAGCGCCATGTGCGCACCTGCCGGCCCATGGGGCAGGGCCAGCCGAGGTCCGAGCCTGGCAGTGGCCGCCCAAGCAGACCACCCCAGCCGAGGGCTGATTTAATTAGAAAGCACCCATTTCTGTTAATTTGTTCTGGAAGATCACTGCACACTCCTGGAGAGAACAGATGTTCCCTCTCCCCTGATGAACATTTGGGGCTTGGTAAATGGCTCCACTCAGCCTTGTTTAGGAGAGAAAAGAGGATTTTATGGCTGCAAACGACCCTTTCTGTAAACATTTTACAGCTCTCCGCGCGTTTGAGTGACGATAAACCCCACGCAGCTCGGCGGGCTGCACATTTGCGACCATACGGCTATCATTTTATTGTCATATTTCACGGTCGTAACGTTAATGGAAGATGCTTGCTGCAGCCTTCTCTAACAGCTCCGCTGAGCACGCTCAAACGCTTGCCTCGGAGGGGCCGCCTCCTGCTTACAGCCTCCACGTGGAGGGCACGAAGCTGTGGCCAGACCCCTGTCTCTTGGGACCGAGCAGCTCCCTCCCTCTGGGGGGGCCTCTCAGGTGGGGAGAGCAGGTGGGGCTTGAGGCAGCTACTTCCCACCTGTTTTTTGTTTGTTTGTTTGTTTGTTTTTTGAGACAGAGTCTCACTGTTTTGCCCGGGCTAGAGTGCCGTGGCATTAGCCTAGCTCACAGCAACCTCAAACTCCTGGGCTCAAGCAATCCTTCTGCCTCAGCCTCCCGAGTAGCTGGGACTACAGGCATGCGCCGCCATGCCTGGCTAATTTTTTCTATATATTTTTAGTTGTCTGATTAATTTCTTTCTATTTTTAGTAGAGACGGGATCTCGCTCTTGCTCAGGCTGGTCTCGAACTCCTGAGCTCAAACAATCCGCCCGCCTCGGCCTCCCAGAGAGCTAGGATTACAGGCGTGAGCCACCATGACCGGCCTGTTTTTTTTTTTTAAATCAGGAACCTGGCAGCCAATTCTAGAGCCAGAGAAGGCAGGTAGGGTGCTGAGGGGCCCTGTGTGCAGGTGCCCAAGGCCCGGGAAAGGCTCCAGAGGCCTCCTGTGGTCCAGCCAGGACTAGGAGCTGGAGGGACAGGTGGAGGCGGGCCTGGCACAGCCTCTAGACAGGGAGTGTGGCTGCACCTGCTGAAGTGGCCACTGTAGGTGGAGGCTGACAGGGCAGAGGCCAGTGCAGTCTGTAGGCCTGGGCCTCTGCTAGACCTGAGCCCCAGTCCTAAGTGAACAGCATCAGCAAGCCCTGAAGAGGGGCCACTGTAGGAGAGGTAGGCTTGAAGGGGGCACATGGACAGTGCCGTGCCATGGGCAGCCATGCAAAGTCGTGTGCGGTCAGTGGGATGCAGGGTGCCCCCGAGGGTGGTCTGGAGCATTCATGGGAAGGGAGTGAGGCACTGGTGCCCAACCAGCGTGCACTCCCCAGGCAGGAGCCCCCAACAGGATCCTCTCCCTCTCACCCTTCCTGCTTCCAGGCAGGCCCTGCCAGCCTCACCCTGCATGGGGGCCTCTGCTCAGCTCCCGCCCCCACCCAGCCAGCTGTTCACACGCACCCCGGCTTTTCACGTTGAAGGCGCAGCATGGTGCGGCACGGCCACCTTGTGTGCGGCTGGCAGCCTTGCTCCCAGGTCTGAGCGTGCAGTGTGTCTGCGTGCCTGCACGCACCTGGTATCTATAGCTCAGCCTGCCTACTGCTGTGGCTCCCACCGGGGACCCTGTCCCAGCCCGCCCAGCTGCTGCCCAGGAAGGCCCTGGACTCCGTCCCCTTCCCCTCAACCCTGAGGTCCAAGCCTACTGTGGCTAGGCAGCACAGAGGCCAGAAGCTGATGGCCTGTCAGGAGCCGCTCTCCCCTCTTTCTGACTCGTGGATGTCTTTGCAGCCCACTGTGCCGGCCTGGGCTGACGAAGTCTTCCCATCCTGAGCCCCAGACCAGCTTTGGGGTGGGGAGGCTCCTCTGGGCTGGGGTTGCCTGGCACCTGACTTTCGCCCTTTCTGTGCAGGGAAGCCTCTGCACATCAAGCCACGTCTGTGAGGGCCCCGGGGACCAGCCCGCACCTACCTCAGACCCTCGTCCCTGGAGAGGAAGGAGGCTCTTCCCACCACTCCGCCCCAGAAGAGGGGCCACCTGCCACCCAGCCTGCCGAGGGCCACAGGGGCACTGCTCTGCCCACCTGGCTCTCAGCCTTCCGTGACCAGTGTGTTCCTGGGGCCTTGTCCTTCCCCCTTGGGCTGGGCAGCTGTCCAGCCACCCCCTGTACCCCTCTCCTCCCTGACCCTGGGCTCTTGGGCTCCCACCCAGGACCTGCCCCCATCCCCCACCCCTCAGGGTGTCTGGCAGGGCTCACCCCCGGGCCTGCCCCCTGCTGTGGGTGTGGTGGTGGCCGTGTGATACATCTCCCTTAGTCCTCTCCACCCAGGACTTCTGCCCTGGGAAGAGGCCACCAGCCAGGCCTCCCTGCTGGGCTTTTTATGTTCAGCAATAAAGGTTCTGTCCTGTGTTTGATTGTCCTGTCCTGACCACCACACTGGGCCCTGGACCTAAATGGGAGACAGCCAGGCAGAAGGCACAGCCCCTCTGGGCAGGAGTATCAGGCCCCACTTTCCTGCCTCCCTGAGATGGTTCAGAAGGGCCAAAGTAGCCTCTCCCTGTGGCTGAGCCAGCGTGACCTGGGGTGGGGGAAAGCGTGAGAGGGGGCACTCTGTGGACACAGATGCCACAGGCTAAGGCTAGGACAAGATGGCAGCAAGCCAGAGCCCAGCTTGAAGGAGGGGGCTGCGCATCCAGGCTCCCAGCTTCCCCCATAGGAGTGCCCAGTCCCAGAGGGCCCAGCTGGGAGGCCTGGCTGAGGATCGTGTCGGTTGGCGAGGCCTGGAGAGTCACAGGGTTACTCAGGGGGTCCACCCTCTCCATCCCCCTCACCTCCAGAGAAATGAGGGGTGGCCCCTGGGTAAGTGGGCCAGCACTCCTCCTGGGGCCTCCCTGCACCTCCATCTTTGTGTCAGTCTTTCCTGCCTGTGCTGCCATGTAACAAGATGCTCATCCTCTGCTGGCCTGTTCTGGGCCCAGGGTGAAGGGGCAGTGCTGGCCAGAGCACCACCTAGTATGTGTTCAGGTCAGGCCTCTGCACACTCCATGTCCCAAAGCAAGCCCTGTGACCTGAGCCGCACCCAGACGGAGGGATGCCCTGCCCTGCACAAGGCCCCAGCCAGCTTGGGTTTAGGGTCCAGCCCTCCACCCCAGGAGAGGCGCCTGATCCACAGGAGGGGTGTCTGGGGCAGACGCTCAGGCCTTGGTGGTTTGTGGTCATTTCCGCAATGATCATCCCTGTTACCACTGCCCTGGGGCCCAGTGTGTGACCCCTGCTGCAGCTGGCTCGGTAGGATGATGGATTCTGGAAGTTGGACCTGGCTGGAAGAAAAGCCTCACCCAACTCCATCAATAAATGGAGTGACCCCTATGGCCAGGCCTCTGGGGGGAGGGGCAGCTCACATCTCCTGGGCCTGTCACCTTGCCTGCACTGACCGGGTACACCTGGGGCCAGATGTTTGTAGGGCCTCGTGTCCTGGCTCAGCTATCCCCTCGTGGACCTGGACACCTTGCTGGGGACCTCTCCATGCCAACCATGGTGTGGGCCCTTGGCTGCCCCTCAGCCCCACCTCCTCCTCCCTCCAGGAGAACTGCCCAAGGGGGATGTGGTCATGGAGGGGGCTGCGGAAACCGGCTGCAGCCTGCAGGGCAGACATCCCAGAGCTGAGGCCAGCTGCCTATGGATGGGCCACTGGTGCCACTTCCCCCTGTGGCCACTGGTCCTTCGCAGGCACAGCCTGGGGGGCCACTTTAGGCTCTTACCTCCTCCCCCGGGCTCCCAGGATGCCTCCACCAGGCCCTCCACAAAAGGCTGGGGGATAAATTCTCCTCCCTCCTCTTGATCCAGCTGGCCTCTAGCCACTCACCTCGCAGCCTCCCTCCGGGGCCTCCACGGTAAATGAGAGGACGCACCTGCACCTCAGGCCAGGCTCTCTGGGAACTCGGGCTTCGAGGGTGGGCAGTGGTGGACTCGACGTGGGCAGATCCTCATGCTTCTTGTCCATCCACTGGCAGTGTCCACTGCAGGCGGGCCTCCCAGCAAGCCCGGTGCCAGCTGGCCTCACCCATGAGTGTGCTGCCCTCAGCCACCCTGGTGCTGACAGACAGCGCCTGAAACGTCCACAGTGAGCGGAGGACCAGTGAGCAGGGTTCTGCTCTTTTGACCCCACCCTCACAGGGGAGACAGCTCTGCTCCCAGCCACACAGAGTGCCTGACAGCCAAACACAGCCCACCAGGCCCCAGACACTGCTCGGGGGCATAGGGCATGTGACCGGAGCCTGGGCCCAGGTGCCACTGCCCCCCAATGCAGCATCTGGCAAGAAGGCTCAGGAAGGGCTGGGCATTGCCCTCTAGGAGGCCGCCATACAGCCCTGGGCTCTGCCTGGCATGGTGCCTGGCACCATCTGAGCTGAGCGCACCCACAGCCACTCCAGGCTCCTCAGGCCAAGGGAACAGAAGCAGCAGACAGGTGACTGCTCTGCCAGGGAAACTGACTGAGGTCCCTGTGGCTGGTCCCTGACCCCTGCAGTGACCATGAGCCAACCTGAAGAGCAATCTGGAGCCAATGCAGAGCCTTGGGTATGAAGGTGAGCCAGCCCCAGGCATCAGCCCAGACCTGGGGGTGGCAAGTTTCAGGCAGGCAGGCCTGGAGCTGCTCCCTTAGGCCTCTCTCGTCCTGGGTCTCTCTAAAGAGCATGGCTGCCCCCAGCCCTCCCCTCTCAGGGCAGGACGTGTGCACATCTTGGTCCCTGGGCCCTGGGGAGACACTGGGGACCTGCTGGCACCCACACAAAGCTTTGATTGGTGAGGACAGAGCCCCTTCCACCCTCCCATGGGCTGCCCTCGTGGGGCAGGTCGTGTGGCTCCTCAAATGACGGCTCAAGGTCAGGCAGTGGTTTGTGCCTCACAGCAGGACGACCAGGACCAAGGTGGTGACGTGACTCACACGGGCTTCCCCTGCTGGGTGCTCAGAACAGGGCAGGCTGCCAAGGAGGGAAATCTGAGCTGAGACCGCAAGTGCACACGAGCAGCAAGTGCGTGACACTCTTCACAGCCCCTCCATCCTCAGAGCCCTGGCAGGGCGTGGCCAGGTCCCAAGCTCTGAGCTGACAAGTCTTCAGGCTGCTGTTTAGAGGCTGGGATCTGTTGCCTCGCCTAAGGGAGTCATGACAGCCACAGAAGGGGGGCCCTGGGTAAAGTCGGGGGCCACCGAGGAGGGTGGATGGGCCTGAGGGGCACACAACGATGACTTCTGGGTGAGAGTGTGTGCCCCTTGGTGCTGGGAGGAGGTACCCCACAGGCTGGGGACAGGATGTGGGTGGGCAACAGGATGCCTGGACCTCTGGGCTGGGAGGCAACAGAAAGGAGAGTGTCCTGGCAGGACAGCTGGGAGCCTGCACCTTCCTAGTACAGGCCCTGCTCCCCATCCTGCCTCCGACAGACTAACCCCACTAACACCCTGTCGTGTCACTCAGTGCTCAGCAGAACGGGAGCTCCAGGAGGGCAGGGGCTTCTGTGTTCATGGCTGAGTGTGCACCCCCAGTAGTGTCTGGCATACAACAGGTGCTCCATAAGTGCTGGGGAGGGGGATAGAGGACAAGCAGGACAAGGAAGACACAGAGCAGCAGACTGGCTGAGAACTCATTCCCTTGGAGGCCTGGGCTTTGTTTGGTTTGGTTTTTGCTTTTTATTTATTTTATTTTTTTTTTGAGACAGGGTCTCACTGTGTTGCCCGGGCTAGAGTGCCGTGGCATCCTAGCTCACAGCAACCTCAAACTCCTGGGCTCAAGCAATCCTTCTGCCTCAGCCTCCCGAGTAGCTGGGACTACAGGCATGCGCCACCAT